TACATAGTACAATTTTACTCAACAAGAGCTGTCTGTAGGACAGCACGCTCGACTATTCTAAGTGCTTGATAGTAAAAGAGCCTTGATAATGTTAAATTTTTTAAGTTCACAAAAGGGCTAATTTTTTTTTATAAATTCATGTTATAGGTCTTAGAGAGAGTCTAATTATACAGAATTGGCTTGACTATTTGGAAGGTAATGTCACGAGGGTTTTTTATTGAGTATAATAATACTAATTACCTATGAATACATAAATTTGACAGAAAAGGTACAAAAGCTTGTTATTAAGATGTTTTATCAAGTAAATCACTGCTTTATTATTATGAATGCATAAAATTGTCCCAAAAAAGGCACAAACCCTTCAGTAGTTATTGAGATAACAGCTTACAAGCAAAACTTTACCATGAATTTCTAAGTTGAAAAAGGGGAGAAAAATCAGCCTAAATGCAAGATAGAATTATGGATCTTTGTCAGTGACCTACAATTATGACCCTAAATGCATATGTGAAGTTTTAAATAAATATCTTTAATAGTTATTGAGATATGTAAAACTTGCATGTAAACATTAACCAAGAGACTAAGTAGAAAAGGGGATATGAATCAGCCTTAATGCAAGATAGAGTTATGGAAATTGGTCAGTGACATACAATTATGCCCCTCCAATTATGACCCTAAGTGCATGTGTAAAATTTCAAGTAAATATCTTTGAAGATTTTTAACCTTTAACCAAAATTTCTGTTTCAAAGGAGCAAATAATTCTGCAAATATTGCAGACAGAGTTATGCAATTTTGCAAACTGATGAACATTGTTATTATAAATAAGAATTTTAAATTTCAATTGAATATCTCAAGCAATAATTGAGATATTTGACTTTACAAAAAAACTTTAACCAACATTTCGAAGTTCCAAAGGGGCATAATTCTGTCAATATGGTAGGCAGAGTTATCCAACTAGTCAATCTGATGTACATTGTTACTATAAATAAGTATTGTTAGTTTCAATTGAATATCTCAAGCAATAATTGAGATATTTGATTTTACAAAAAAACTTTAACCAAAATTTCTAAGTTAAAAAGGGGCATAATTCTGTCAAATTTTGTAGGCAGAGTTATCCAACTTGTCAATCTGATGTACCTTGTTACTATAAATAAGTATTGTAAGTTTCAATTGAATATCTCAAGCAATAATTGAGATATTTGATTTTACAAAAAACTTTAACCAAAATTTCTAAGTTAAAAAGGGGCATAATTCTGTCAATATGGTAGGCAGAGTTATCCAACTTGTCAATCTGATGTACCTTGTTACTATAAATAAATATTGTAAGTTTAAATTGAATATCTCAAGCAATAATTGAGATATTTGACTTTACAAAAAAACTTTAACCAAAATTTCTAAGTTAAAAAGGGGCATAATTCTGTCAATATTGTAGGCAGAGTTATCCAACTTGTCAAGCTGATGTACCTTGTTACTATAAATAAGTATTGTAAGTTTCAATTGAATATCTCAAGTAATAATTGAGATATTTGACTTTACAAAAAACTTTAACCAACGCAGACGCCGACGCGGACGCTGACGCCGACGCCGGGGCGACTACAATAGCTCTCATATTCTTTGAATAGTCGAGCTAAAAACAAGGGCAACATTGTGGCAAAATACGCCCGTCACAAAACTTTTGACAGAGATATGAGCATTATAGATATGCATATAGGAGATATGCTCTGGGCAATATCTGGAAAATATCTGGATATTTTATCATCTCTAGTGACCTTGACCTTGCAAATATTAACCAAAATTACATGTGTCACACTTGCAGTCATGACAGTTATCATTGGTTACAATCCATCAATAAATGAATGACTAAATTATCCCCGTAAACAAACTTTGACTTCTCTATGTGACCTTGACTTTGGTAGCTTGGACTAGGATTATGTACACAATAAGCCTCACAATGGTGAACATTTGTGCCAAGTAACATTAAAATCCCTCGATGAATGTAGAAGTTCGGCTCTGAACAAACATTGATGTGACCTTAACCTTTAACCTAGAGACCTGGTTCATGAATGATGACTAAATGGTCCGAATACACATTTTCATCTGAACTTTGACCCCTATGTGTGATATTGACCTTGGCTGCAAGGACCTGAATTTTGCACATCTCACAATGATAAACATTTGTGCCAAGTTATTTTGAAATCCCCCTACGCATGTAAAAGTTTTGCTCTGGACAAGCATTTTTCAATGACCTCTAAGTGTGACCCTGACCTTTAACCTAGAGACGTAGTTCATGCACATGACACTGCTTCTCATAGTGGTGAACATTTCAAAGAATTTTCATTAGAATCCCTCTACATATGTTAGAGATATGTTCTGGATAAAATCTTTATATTTTATCATCTTTAGTGACCTTGACATTCATCTTTACCTTGACCTTACAAATATTAACCCAAATCACATGTTTCACACCAGTAGTCATAATAATGACCAATTGTGTTTTAATCCCTCAATAAATGATGACTTAATGGTCCGAATACACATTTTCATATTTTTATATGATCATTGACCCTATTTGTGACCTTGACGGCAGGGACCTGAATTTTGAACGCGACACTCCGCCTTACAATGGTGATCATTTGTGCCAAGTTATATTGAAATCCCTTTATGCATGTAAAAGTTTTGCTCCAGACAAGCGTTTTTCAATGACCTCTAAGTGTGACCTTTGACCTAGAGACCTGATTCATGCGCACAACCTGCTATTCCTAGTGATGAACATTTCTATGAAGTTTCATCAAAATTGCTCCATGTGTGTAGGAGATATGCTCCGGAGAAAAATCAGATGCGGCCTGCCCAGTCTGCCTTGGGGGAAACTATAATATGACCCGTTTTTCAAACATGTGTATAAAAAATTCTTAGTCAAACAAGAAGCATTATTTTGCCAAATTCATGACATATGTAATATTCATTTTGCATACAAGTGGAAACAAGCGTCATGAATAACTTAAGAAATGCAACAAAGGGTAAACTTAAACATAACAATGACATGAGATCAGAATTGTGTAACCAAGGAAAAATATTCAGCATTAAGACTAGTTTAAACTATCATAGCTATTTCCCTTTGACCAGTTTAGTTTAAGTACAAACACTGTTTATTGTTTTGTAGTTCCTTAAATTTGTTCTTTTTGTAGAAAAATTGTTTTAAATTGCAAGTCAACCAAGTGAACAACAGCTCTACTTATTGGGCTTGCCAGCTCTTTACACATCTTTTCTCACATAATTTGCAGTTCTATAATGCAACATACTCGCCCTACTGTAATGAGATTCATCCCAATTTTCAAACTAGAACTCCGCGAGTCGGATGTGTCGCCTTGTGAACAATATAGTTTAGGAGAAATGGCCAGGACAAAAGTGAAATTTGAAAATCAACAAAGGGCAATAACTCAAAAAATATGAAATGCAGAGCAGCAGTTTCTGTGCACTGCACTTCTTATCAATAAGATCTATCATCCTATTAAGTTTCAAGTCTAAAGCTTTTATAATTTATGAGAAATGGCCTGGATGAAAATAAAGTTTCAAAATTAACAAGGGCAATAACTCAAAAAATAAGAAATGCAGAGTACCAGTTCTTGGGCACTGCACTTCTTCTTAATGAGATCTATCATCCTATGAAGTTTCATGTCCATAGCTTTTATACTTTAGGAGAAATGGCCCGGACAAAAATAAAGTATGAAAATTAACAAAGGGCAATAACTCAAAAAATAAGAAATGCAGAGTACCAGTTCTTGTGCACTGCACTTCTTCTTAATGAGATCTATCATCCTATGAAGTTTCAAGTCCATAGCTTTTATACTTTAGGAGAAATGGCCTGGACAAAAATAAAGTATGAAAATTAACAAAGGGCAATAACTAAAAACATAAGAAGTGCAGAGTACCAGTTTTTGTGCACTGCACATCTTCTCATTAAGATCCATCATCATCCTATGAAGTTTCAAGTCCATAGATCTTATAGTTTAGGACAAATGGCCCAGACAAAAATAAAGTGTGAAAATTAACAAACTCAAAAAATAAGAATTGCAGAGTGCTGGTTCTTGTGCAATGCACTTTTTATTAACAAGTTCTATCATCCTTTGAAGTTTCAAATCCATAGCTTTTATAGTTTTGGAGAAATGGCCCTGACAAAAAAGTAGGAATATTAACAAAGGGCAATAACTCTAAAATTAATAAGCGCAGAGTACCGGTTCTTGTGCACTGCACTTCGGGTCATTGTAAGAAGTATGCATACCAAGTTTGAAGTCAATCCGACTTATAATGACTGACTTATGCTCTGGACAAGCTTAAGGGGACGCCGACACCGCTGACAAAAGTAACCCCTATATGTCGCCTTTTTGAAGGCAACACAAAAAGTACAGTAAACAATTCGCAATGACTCACAGCTTTAAGCTAACACCCTGACCAATGGATGCTAAATTTGCAATGACTTACAGGATCATTGGATGCTAAATTAACAGAGTGAGAAAATGCATGGGCTTCAGAATATGTTTGTTTTCCTTGTTTGTTTTACTTATGGGACCAAGACATGCACTTGTTATGCCTTTTGACTAGTTATGACATGTAGAATCCAGTCAAGGTGTGTGATTAAGGAAGTCAAAACAAAGAGTCTCACAACTGGTTCAATTCAAACTCAAAACTTGCGGATAAAGAGTCTAATTAATGCTATATACCTAAACCACCCTCTCCTACATGTAGCTGTTAATACTTTCTTCAACACTACTAACTAGATAGTTGTAACACTCGGGCAAAACTTCAAAAAAAAAAAGTGTTTACATAATCTGAAAAACAAAATTACATAAACGACATGTTTATTAAGGCCCAGCTGCATACTAGAATAATATCGTTTTCTTAAAAGACAATAGATATACCTTAAATACTTCAAATTTCCAACGGAAACCTTTTATATTCTTTAATTTACGGTCTATCATCTTGGTCGCTCTGAAAACCATCTTGTCCTTTTTGCCTTTTTCCACTTTAGGAAAGAGTTGCGTCCCCTGTTAACTCTTCAACACCAGACATGTTTGCAAAGAAAATAACACACAAATATATTTACACAGTAAAAATGTCGATGTAAGTTCTTTTCTCAAATTATCTTACATCATGACAAAGTTATTCTTAACAAAATAAATAATGGCAAAATTAGTAAATGTAGTATTTTTCAGTGATGTCAATTTCAAGTGGCTTAATTCGGATAAGCACATGGTTTCGAACATGTGTAACCTTGCAATATTTACAGTATTATAATCTTAAAGAAAAAAATCTCTTTAATATTTAAAATCTTCCCCACCCTGTTTAAAACGAAAATATTGTTTTTATCCGTGCGAGCTGTATACTTTCTCTTTTTAACTGTTTAACTAGGAAAAGAGTCAACTCGGCCGGCACGGGTCAACTCGGCACGGGCGCCGGCACGGGTCAACTCGGCCCACTTTACAAAATATATATAACGTATTTACTTTGCTTTGCATGTTGTTAAGGTAAAATGAATAATAAGAATATCATATTATTATATAATTATACATTGTACTTCTGCCGAAATAAAGTATATTTAGAAAACAAAGTTATTTATTTGTGTTTCAGATTCGATAAAATTAATATACATATAATAAAAATGTGTTTCCTTAGATGCATTTTGTTTGTAAAGTAATTTTCAAAAAAAAAAGAAACAAAAACTTGTTTACTTTATATCATGAGCTTCTAATTGATTGCAGGTGGTCACTAATCAAATTTGAATTCATGAATGTCAATGAGTCAATCATAATTATCACCTAATTAATCGATATCCTTAACATACACATTGATTGATAATAACAGCCCATGACAATAGGAGTCCTTTAATGTCTTTTACCCATTTTTAAAAGTGGGCCGAGTTGACCCGTGCCGAGTTGGAATAGGGCCAAGCTGACTCGGGGGCCGAGTACGTTTTAGGGCCGAGCTGACCCGGATTTGTTTAACTAACACTTCTGTATCAATTATGAATTAACCTTTAATTTTAACTCTCACAAATATATTACTGCCCAGCAATTTGTGCGATTTAGAGCTTTTTATTATATAGACAATGGTCACCCTTCACAAAGACAGACATCTTTGTAATATCAGATTGTAAAATCGGTCGGTCCGTATATTGAGACTAACAAATACATGTACAGTATTTACTTTTATCAGTTTTATTCACCTTTACATTTCTACGTCCCTGTGAGAGGTTTGACATTAATGGAAGATAGATAAATAGAATAGAGATGTTTACCACGGTCTATATTCTATACAGTATATAGTACTAAATTTTCCCTTGTGTCTGAGAGGTTGCCTTTATTAAAATAGTTGAGGCTTCAGAATTGCAGCCAGTGTTTACCTATTTTCTAACTGGTACAGAGATCAGTGTGAATTATTACACTTTTTGACATATTTGACTTTTTAGCCCCAGGAGGTAGACAATCATTATCTTTACATTGATCTTTAGTGGAAAATACTCATCCACTGAACAATCAAAGTTGACCTGTTATATCCTTTACTGTTTGTCTGTCAAGTTTGCTAAAATATTTGTTTGCCAAAAAGGGGCAACCAGGACTAAAATTAGAATTACATTTCAATAACTTCTCACTTGCGAATGAATGCATTAGCAAACTTGGTTCTACAATCAGATAGTTTACTTTCAAGCTCAAGCATATTTGCTTGTTTTCAGAATATGGGAATACAATAAACTTAAAATCACTCATTTAGGATTTAGGATTATTTTTTATTTAACCTAGAACGGCAAGTTGGATTTTCCTTAAGTTCTACCTGTACCAATGGCTTCATAATTTACACACTTACTAATCCATACAAAGTATATGATCTGGGCAAGTTATATAACTATGGCTTCCATTTGCACCAAGTTATGGCCCTTTTCAGCACTTAGAAAATGAATAATGGTTAACCTAAACCGGCAAGTTGGAAATATCTTATGTTCTATCTGAACTAATGGCTTAATAATTTTCACACTTACTTATCAATACAATGTACATGATATTGCCAAGTTATATAAATGTGCCATCCATTTTCCCAGTAATTTCCCTTTTTATCACTTTGAAAATAGGACCTTGTATGGTTAACCTTTTCCGTCAAGTTGGATTTATCAAAAAATTTCAAATAATTACTTAATTTATTTAATGATATCTTTCATATTTGATAGGTGGATACCTTTAACAGTCCTCTAATTTTTTGTGGCGTTAGGGGTCTCTAGGTCAAGGTCAAGGTCACTTGTGTAAAAAAATAAATCTAAACATTTCTGCTCATACAGCCTTTATTTTTAAGTTAATGTCTTTCATGTTTATAATAGTCATACCAAGGGAGGTCCTCGTCCTTTTCCTTTAGTAAGGGGTCAGTTGGGTCAAGGTCACCAGTGCTAAAAATAGATTTTTACACTTTTGCTCATACAGCCTTTATTTATTGACAGATTTGTATTATAATTGGTAGGAAGATAACTTACATGGTATTCTTGCTTTGGATGGAGTTAGGGGTCAGTTGGGTCCAGGTCAACAGTGCTAAAAATAGATTTGTACACTTTTGCCCATACAGCCTTTATATATTGACAGATTTATTTCATATTTGGTAGGAAAATAAGTTGCATGATATTCTTCCTTTGGATGGAGTTAGGGGTCAGTTGAGTCAAGGTCACCAGTGCTAAAAATAGATTTTTTACACTTTTGCCCATACAGCCTTTATTTTAAATATTGTTACTGACAAGAATCTGAGCCGGGGGCATTTGTGTTTAACAAACACGTTCTTGTTTTTCAATTGATATCTCATCTTAAACCATTTCACCAGCTTTCAGAAAAGCTGTGGTACAAAAATATTTCGAGACATTTGTGACACAGATATAAATATTAAAACTGTAAGACATGAAAGTGCCATGCCTTTTTATATTGCAAATTATTGATAAAGACCTTGTCTTACTTACATTTGTATATATGAATTATAAAGGATATAGTACTGTATTATACTATTGCAGATTATAACTGTTCTGTTATACAGTTACAAGTGATGGTCAGTTGAGGTATTTAACTGTAAGGTATGAGTACGGAAGAAAATACATTAAGCTACTTGTGGCTGCAGATTGAGAAGCTTGATATAGAGTACTGGAAATGGGTAAGTAAGATATGGAAGAAAAATGTAGTACATTAAATGTAGGAATTGAATATGCCTTGATTTTATTAATAAAATTATAGATTGCAGTGGCGGATTCAGGCCCGGGCTTCAGGGCTGCAGCCCCCCCCCCCCCCCCCAGCTTGGCCCTAAGATATGTTTACCAGCTGGGCTGGAACATATTTTTTGTCAGTTTCAAACTTTATTGGCTGTAGTGTACTCCCTTATCAAAACATTTATTGCTGTCATCCAGTTGTTAATCTCCTGCCTGGGGGGCTTGACTGACTTCAATGTTTAAACTGCATAATTGATTGGTTAATTACTTTCCAAAGGTCTAATGAAATAAATAGTCACAGATAGTGGCAAATAGATATGTTAAAAAGTACACCATATTAAACTATCCTTTTTTTCCATTTTCTTAAGGAAAGCCCGCCCTTTAATTAATAAATTGAAAATTATTATTTGTAAATTAAAAAGCATGAAGATAATATTAAAGGAATTGCATTTTAATAACTAAGAAATTAACTAACTTAGATTTTTATCAAGATGAAAAGATTGGTCATTTGCTTTTAGTATCTTTTTATGACAGTTATATTCTTTTTAATTTAAATTGTACTGACCTCTGGATCAGTACCGTATATTAACGTTAATACCTGTCCGGATTCATTGATGGAAAAAAATTCTTATTGAATATTAGTGTTTGAAATAATGTTTTTGCACAATAGAAAGGCAGTATTTTAATTCCACTTTACTTTGGAAAATCCTCTATTATTCAGATGAGTAAATTGATCAAGTGCTTGAAATTATTTTTATCAACGGTAGCGCATACAATGCTTACTACTAAACACCAGGGGAATTCTATTTGAAAGACCTTATACATACAAAATACTATGTGATGTAAAATCATCAAAAGGTACCATAAACAGCACTAGAAAGTCAAGGAAATAACACCATTTTCAACCTCATATTTCAAAATTTTCTCAGTCTATGGGAGGGGACACCTCTCCCAGGCCCACCCCAATTACATATATTTTTTCTTAATTCCATACTATATCATATACACATATATAAGCAAAGTGGTGCATTGCCACTCATAAGATGACATATAAAACACATCAAATAGAAATTTTTGATGCTGGCCCGATCTTAAAACAAAAGTGCACATTTTTTCGCCTGTTACGTTATTTTTATCAAAAACTTCCACCCATATGTCAGCCCCACCAGGAAACCATGTTCTGTATCTGCCCCTGGATTGATAATCAGAAGGGTTGGATACAAAATGGTAATGAAATATACATTTAGCTATAAGAAGTGAATCAACTTGTAAAATTTTTACATGTAACTATATATCTAATATTAATTAATGAAAACAAACTGTGTGTGGTTAATAAATTTTTGTATTTTATTCAATTAATGTGTTTATTTTCAAATTGAACACAAATGTAATATATAAACTATGTACAGTTAATGGTTATTCAATGGAATCAGTTTTGGATACAATGACCATGAAATCTGTTTTAAGTTTTTTAGTACAGTTATATGCAGTTTTATTCAAAAACACATGTAATAAAATGATATGGACTTATTATGCTGTCTTTAACATTTACCTCTAAAAACTTTTAACATGTGTTTGTTTTATGTTTCAGGTAGCATGGATGATATATCCAGTTATCATATCTTTCTTGTTGCCGTTGATAATACCAATATGTTTATATTGCTGTGCAATATTTCTCCATGTTTACCAGTATAGAAGAAGGCTACGAGACGCTTATGCTCAAGATTTTTGGGGTGGCGCTAGAAATACTGTAGCTGTATTCTGGGAGGCACAAGGCAGAATTTGGCATGGTGAGTTATACAATTTGTTGTCTGGGTAAAATGGAAGTTATAGAACACATTTTATGTTTTAAAAAATGAAAACAAAAATCAACAAAGAGGATGTTCACAGAATGTAGCCCCCAACATCATCCAGTCACCCAGGCAAGCATTTAAGTGTGTAGTAAACCTAAGAAATACAAGACTTTGCAACATATTTATGCATCAAATATTCAAGAACATTGTATTCTTAATTGTCCTAAGATGGTTCTAACATGTGTAGTTTTGTTGAATATCAAACAGTCTAAGGCCAAAAATGATAGTTAAGCTTGGGACTAATTATGATGTACATCAGCTTTTTTCTCATGTCTGATATCACAACATTAATTTAGACAATGGTTGATTGAATTATAAAACCTTTTGTAAGTTCTTGTTTGTTTAAGGTTGCACTGCACAAGTCTTCAAAAATACTTTCGACCAACTGATACTTTTAAAACAACTCAATTTGTAATGCATGTATGAAAACAAAATGTATATGAATAAACAATGTTAAAGAATTTTGTGTTGAAATTTGTCGAGACACTATCAACATCTAGCCAACACTATATATTACAGGTTATGAGATAGTCGGGTTAGATAAAGTACCTGACACAGGTCCAGCTATGCTGATATATTACCATGGTGCTTTACCTATAGACTTTTACTATGTGATGGCCAAATGTCTTCTAGAGAAACGACGGCAAATACATGCAGTTGGTGACAACTTTCTCTTTAATATACCAGGTACTTGTTTCTAGAGTCATAATGTTGTTAATTGTTTCAAAATAGATATTGGTGTGCGACTTTTCTTTTTTAAATAAAGACTTTTATCAATTTTTGTAGTGAACCTTAAATTCTACAACTTAGAGAATTCAAGAGTAATTAAAGTATATAGTAAGATGTTCAACTATTGTAGATTATTTTAAAGATAATTGCTGCAAATGAAAGATGTATGCCTGATTACCTGTAATTATAATATACGTATATAATACATGTATATCAAAATGTAAAAGTGATAAAAACTACATGTATACAAATATAACAAGAGTAAAGTCAGAATGAATTGACTCCTGTCAGTGCCAATATATCAGATAAATGTAACAATTACTGATACATCTATACTTTATATAGCTTATACCAAAAGAAACTTTATTATTTTTTCCTGCTATACATGTATATATTTAATTTTTACATGAATTCTATATTGATGTTAGGTTTCCGTCTGATGTGTGAAGTGTTTAATGTAAGTCCTGGAACTGTACACAGCTGTGCTGATATACTCAAGGAAGGTCATGTATTAGGTATTTCTCCAGGTAAGTTATTATATACTTCAATAATTTCAGGATTGGTGCTAGAAATTTTACAATAAATATATAAGCCGTGCCATGACAAAACCAACATAGTGCGTTTGCGACCAGCATGGATCCAGACCAGCCTGTGCATCCGTGCTGTCTGATCAGGATCCATGCTGTTCACTTACAGACCCTATTACAAGTAGAGAAACTTAAAGCGAACAGCATGGATCCTGATCAGACTACGCGGATGCCCAGGCTGGTCTGGATCCATGCTGGTTGCAAACGCTCTATGTTGGTTTTGTCATGGCATAGCTCAATGATATATTTTTACCACATCATTTCAACTATCATTGATGTTGTTATTGAACATATATTTTTTATCTATGTAGCATATTGAAGTGCCAGGTACAATTTCATATTCATCATATATAGGAGTAAGACTGATTTGTATTAAGATATTTTCTGAGTTAGTTTACCTGAAATAGATATCAATACAGTGGCAACATGTATTAACTTGTTGGCAAAACTTAATTAAATTTATCTGTGAGTAAATAAAACATAAACAGAAAATTGTTATTAGTTGAACACAGGCCAATTATCAGTAAATTTCTCTTACTGTAGAACACAAATATTTTCTTTTCATCATAATGCAGAAAAAGAATTAACAAACTGGCATGCGGATGATATTAAAGTTATAAATTCTCCCTGTAAATTGAATATTGCTTTTATGCTCTTTGTTATATGAAGAACAATGTGTATTATTATTTACTGTATGAAATGTTATGATGTATATAATTATATTATATAAGTTATAATTATATTATGTAAGCAGATTCCGATTTATTTCAAAATGTGTATTATTATTTACTGTGTGAAATGTTATGATTTATATAATTATATTATATAAGTTATAATTATATTATGTAAGTAGATTCCGGTTACATAATAACACTTTAAACAGTATGTAACTCTACATGTAATTCCAGGAATAGTTAAATACATGTAATACAATACTGGTGAGGTATAGAATTCTGATAAATGTGCATGTTAAGACATTTTATTGTATGAGAATGAAATAAAATATCAACTAATGTCAGTTTAATGACAAAATCTCACATGTTATGGTAACAGGTATGAAATTACCTGGAAATTACAAAATATAATCCCTTTATAGCTTTAAACTACAAATTATAGATTACATGATAAATGCCACATGAAGTATATTTCTAGGTGGTGTAAGAGAGGCCCTATTTGGGGACGAGTATTACAGAGTAATGTGGGGTAACAGATCTGGGTTTGCCAAAGTTGCTATACAGACCAAAGTTGTAAGTTTATGCTGTCTTACTTACATTCTAATGAGGAAATGTAGTTGTGGGATATTCATTATTTTTATGTAACTATTCAGCTTCACTGAGATAGGCCCTAGGGTGTCTGTGACTGAGTGATTAATGTTGTTGACTTAAAACATTTTGCTCCTCACCTCTGTGAGTTCAAATCCTGCAAGCAGCTGTGGATTCTTACAGAATGTTGGTGATTCTACTCAAATGCCCGTTTATCCCAGAAAAAAGCAAATGGCACTATGAAAAATTGGGCTCCAAAGTTGCAGAAATCATGCACTGAGTGGTCTTTCCTTTTCACAAGTTAAAAGTGCGTGAAATATCACCCCATTTCGTAGTATTAAGGCCTTTTAGTCACCTGTGGGGTTCATTGGCAACATTTTAAAACAGCCCCAACCAAAAAAATAAGAAAATGCACGAAAGGGCACCTGAGGTCTTTCTACACCAGTAAAGCTGGAAAATTGCCATGACATTTCCTGTGTTGGTGCAACATAAACCATAATTTAAAAAAAAAGAAGCTTACTGAGAATGTAGATTTCAAAGGTAGGCTTATGTGATGATTGATTTCTGGTCAAGAACTAGTGTTAGTGTTAGTTCAGAACTGTTCACTTATTAAGGGAGAAGATGTCTAAGCGGCCAGATAACTCAGTCGGTAGAGCCGCTATATGGTATTCCGAGGGTCAGGCTGCAAATTTTTCTCACCCTGTGACATTGGCGCCCAATGTGGGGCCGTGACTTAATATAGCTCAGAGTTTAATTATGCCCCCCTTCAAAGAAGTGGGGCTTTGCATTTGTCTCTCTGTCGGTCGGTCCGTAAACCAAATGGTTTCCGATCAATAACTAAAGAACACTTAGGCCTAGGAACTTTTAAAGTTGGTATGATGATTGTTCATGACCAGTAAATGACCCCTTTTCATTTTGGGGTCAAGGGGTCAAAGGCAAAGGTCACATTGACCTTTCTAAGTAAACGTTTTCTAATCAATACCGGTAACTAAAGAACGCTTAGGCCTAGGAACTTCAAACTTGGTATGATGATTGTTCATGACCAGTAGATAATCCCTACTGATTTTGAGATCAAGGGGTCAAATGTTGAAACAGTTTTCTATCAATAATTGTACAACCCATGGACCGTTGACCTTTAAACTTCACAGATGCATTGCTTTTGGTCAGAGCATGACCTCAATTGATTTTTTGAGACACCAGGGGTCAGAGGTCAATATTACATTGACCTTATAGGTAAAACGCTTTCAATTTCTCAACAACTTATGGGCCCTTTACATTCAAACTTCACAGGTGCATTGGTCTTGACCAGTAGAAAACCCTTAACCCTATTGATTTAAGGTTAAAATGTCAAAGTCACATTGACTTTGTACGTAAAGACGGTTTCCGACCAAACTAAACAACTCAAATTGCCTTGGTTGATTTTTTTATTAAACTAAAATGCTTTGGTTTACACATTTTAAGGTATTAAGGAGGCCTTCATGATTCATAAAATTTATGCACATATGATTTTGTAAGATTTGTGAAAACTTTGTCATAAAATTGCTTCTTACAACCTTTACGATCACAATTACCTAGTGACAATTCAAGACCAGTAGGTAATTCCTATTGATATTTTGGTCAGTGGGTCAAAAGTCAGTCATCATAACCTGACCACATGATTAATTGGCTGCCGAAAGGGGGCATTCATGTTTTACAAACATATCTTGTTCACATTGCTCTGTAACTCTGTGAAATTCGAGGACGAATTTCAATATAGCAGGAGAGTATGTCATGGTTCAGAACTGTTAACTTTTTAGGGGAGATGTGTAAGTGGCGGGATAGCTCCGTTGGTAGAGCCGCGGTACAGTATTCTGAGGGTCCTGGGTTCGCACCCCGGTCAGGCTGCACATTTTTCTCACCCTGTGACATTAGAAATGGAATATTGTTATCACATTTGGTATTTTACTTTTTTGTGGATGCTTTGGGGCTCCTTCGGTCAGGATAATTGTTCCTAAAAATAAGTCAAATGGTTTCCAGTTGTTGATACATACACGTAGTTATAAATAAGATATTGTAATAAAGGTTTGGATTTCTTTTGGATCCCAAAGATTAAAGATCAAGGTCACTGTTACTAAAAATAGAAAAAAAGCTCTTGGGTTCATAACTACAGTTAAGGGTGACATATTATAATCAAACATGGTAAATTGCAAGCTTTTGTAGAGACCTCTCTAGCTGTTTCTGCCCATTTAGGGTCAAGGTCACATTTACTAAACATAGAAAAATGGTTTCAGGTAGTAATGCAGTATTGTTATAAGATTTGTATATATCAAGTGTGGAGACATTGCTTGTGCTGCTTTTTGGCCCCCTAGAGTCGAGATTCAGTGTAGTTTGTCTGCTAATTTAGTCTCAGAGAATTAAATCATTTTCACTCTTACACATATTAGCCAACGCAAAGAGTGAATCATGCTGTAACACTAACAACAGAAAAATACTGAGGACTCAGCCGTTGCTCAGATATCAATATTTGAAACATGATTTCATGTAAATAATTAGTCAGTGGTTTTGTTAAGACTTTATTTGGTCATAATTTACAATGAATGAGGTAAGGGCTTTTTAATTCTCTAATTAAAAGGAACTTTGATGTGTAGTTGTTGCAAAATTATGCTCAAGTAATTATTATACATTTCTTATTGTTGTTTATTTACTACTCTGCCATATTATCAGACGTAATTTTTACATTTCAGCCAATTATTCCAATGTTTACAATGAATATTCGAGAGTCATTCAGAACACCTGGATGGGGAAGAAGTATGTATATATATAGGATTAGCTTTTATATATCTTCTGTAACAATGAATAATTGTTTGTGATATCAAATAAACAATAATATCTTTATACATGTATAAGCTTAATTATAGAAGATTTCCTTTGACCACATTTGCTACATTTAAAGTATCTGGAGCGAAAATATACATAGATGGAGAAAGAAATAAAATAACTGTGTACGGAAATGTGTACTTGTACGTGTAATTGAATTCAGTATTGTACTCAACAATGTGTAATAACTACATAATATTGTCCTTTTAAGCTTTGCTTTAGAATGAATGATCATAAAGTTATGTTAACCTGTATTTCAAATTACAGGTTCATTGAGATGGTTGTATGAGAAGTGTCGACTACCTATTGTTCCAATTTATGGAAATTTTCCAGTCAAAATGACGTAAGTTAGAATTTTACTTTACAAGTTTTTCTTGTCCTTGTATCTTAAGATCTTGATGGGAAAAATTTGTTATAAAATTATATTTGAGTAAAGTGTGAAGATAAGAATTAAAAAAAGGATAAAATGTTAAGCTTCTAAATTGCTGTCCAATACTGGCATAAAATAGCAAAAATAAAATAAAAGATCTGTTTTATATTGGAATGTGCATATGTTACTGATGGAAAAAGAAAATGTTAGATGGTTATGTTTGAGTATTTAACCAAAATTACGCAGATTACACTGATATTCTTTTTAAACTATTGCCAGGGTTTAGAAGAAGTCCGAACTTTACTGAGTGAATATGCGTAATTGAAATCACTGGTTACGTTTCTGAATGAAATATATCATGTTGGCAATTTTCTCATTTAATGATTTTGTATTATAAGTTATAGTTCTGTATCTAACTTGAATATGCTTGTATTTTAATTCGGATGAACTGTTTTTTATAGAACGTATCTGGGATCTCCAATTTATCCATCAGAAGATATGACCGCAGAAGAATTAGCAGACAAGGTTGGTCTATATATGTTAATGTTTATTATATGACTACTTATTTCCCCTTGTTGCAATTGATCGAGGCAATGTCACATGACTGTTAATCGAAAGTGACATTTACTTCAACTCTAGATCACACTTCTGTAAACAAACTGCATCATAAAGTATGACACTAAATTTTAACCTCTGTTTTTAGAAACCAGTTGTTAATGACTTTATGAGATAAAGGGTACTAGCTGACTAAGACATGTGTCATCCCTAGCTACATTCAATCACGCTGGAATATTTAAATATGACTTCTCCATATTATCTGACTGAATTTTTTCTCACTAGGGTAGCAACAATTTGGTCAAACCTTTATTGCTATATAATGTGTTACATTCAACCAGCATATTACAACACAATGATTGTATTGAAAATAATATAAAACTAAAACTATGATTTATTATTGAAAATGTTAAAAGTTACTCAATATATTTACATTTTCATTAAAATATTTGGTTAGTAAAACGTCTTTATTAAACAATAAAAAGTGAAGGTCTTTGTGTATGTACAAGTGTAACTTAGTTGACTTTATAGGTCTGGAATAACCAAGCAAAGGAGCATTATTTTATAATAATATCCAAATGATACATTTTTATAGTTTTTATCAATATTTGAAATAATTATGGGAAATGTGCAAATTGTAAACCAATTCACAATAAAACAATTCAGATATATCTAATGTTTCATTGATGGCCTTTCATTTGTTTCAGGTTAAGCTTGGTATTGAAGATTTAATTAGGAAACACCAGAAAGTACCAGGCAATGTGCTAAGGGCGTTGTCAGAGAGGATTCTATGGAAGGAAAAAGTTAGCTAGAAAACTTATGTTGTTGTCTTGTAATGGTATTTCTTGTTTTCTGAATATTGCTGGCATTTTTTTTAACATTTACATATCTCATACTGTAAAACTGATCACTAATGAAGCAGTTAAAAAAACCATTTGCCTTGAAAATGTTTCCACTCCATTACTACATAATTCTTTGGCCTACTCTTTCCCAGCCATACAGATTAATGTCTATACTTCAAATTTATATGAATTATAGATTTTAAACAATAAACATGCACCATTTTTAGATGATCTCTATTTATCCTTGTTTTGATATTGAGGTTAAAGTATCAATTTTGAAAAAGTACTGGACATACTTTGTATGTGTATGCTCGGAACAATTTTATATGTAAACATGATAACCTGGCATATACTACTAGGAATAACTGGTTATGTTTGACTTTAATCTTTAGGGTATGTCTGCTACAGGAGTATCAGATTTAAAGAATTATTTAGAACTTTGTCTGTTAGATTTTTGTCTTACATTTTTGGCCGGGTTGCATAGGTGCAAACTGGGGTTATAGTATGGTGAATGTTTTCTCAGCAACAACTTATCACAGCCTCTTGATATTTTGTTTACAGCATTAACATGTGGTCTTATACTGTGGGATTCAATTTCAGGTCCGTCTCTCATGATCCACTTCCTGTTTGCAGACTTAGTTTAATTTTTAGCTCACCTGTCACAAAGTGACAGGGTGAGCTTTTGTGATCGCTTTTCGTCCGGCGTCCGTCCGTCCATCGTCCGTCCGTCCGTCGTCCGTCCGTAAACTTTTGCTTTAAATGACATCTCCTCATAAACCACTGAGCCAATTTCATCCAAACTTCACAGGAATGTTCCTTTGGTGGTCACCTTAAAAATTGTTCAAAAAAATTTAATTCCATGCAGAACTCTGGTTGCCATGGCAACCGAAAGAAAAATCTTTAAATATCTTCTTTTAAAACAACCCTAAGAGCTAGAGCTTAGATATTTGGCATGAAACATCTTCTAGTGAGTGTCTACCAAGTTTGTTCAAATAAAAGCCCTGGGGTCAAAATTGGCCCCGCCCCAGGGGGTCATTGATTTTCCCTATATGCATATAGTAAAAACTTAAAAAAATCTTCTTTTAAAGAACCCAAAGAGCTAGAGCTAAGATATTTGGCATGAAACATCTTCTAGTGAGTGTCTACCAAGTTTGTTCAAATAAAAGCACTGGGGTCAAAATTGGCCCCGCCCCGGGGGTCATTGATTTTCCCTATATGCATATAGTAAAAACTTAAAAAATCTTCTTTTAAAGAACCGTAAGAGCTAGAGCTTAGATATTAAGCATGAAACATCTTCTAGTGAGTGTCTACCAAGTTTGTTCAAATAAAAGCCCTGGGGTCAAAATTGGCCCCGCCCCGGGGGGTCATTGAATTTCCCTATATGCATATAGTAAAACTTAAAAATCTTCTTTTAAAGAACCATAAGAGCTAGAGCTTAGATATTTGGCATGAAACATCTTCTAGTGAATGTCTACCAAGTTTGTTCAAATTAAAGCCCTGGGGTCAAAATTGGCCCCGCCCCGGGGGGTCATTGAATTTCCCTATATGCATATAGTAAAACTTAAAAATCTTCTTTTAAAGAACCATAAGAGCTAGAGCTTAGATATTTGGCATGAAACATCTTCTAGTGAATGTCTACCAAGTTTGTTCAAATAAAAGCCCTGGGGTCAAAATTGGCCCCGCCCCAGGGGGTCATTGATTTTCCCTATATGCATATAGTAAAAACTTAAAAAATCTTCTTTTAAAGAACTCAATAAGCTAGAGCTAAGATATTTAGCATGAAACATGTTCTAATGGGTGTCTACCAAGTATGTTCAAATAAAAGCCCTGGGGTCAAAACTGGCCCCGCCCGGGGGGTCATTGATTTTCCTTATATGTGTATAGCAAAAACTTAAAAGTCTTCTTTGAAAAAACCCAAATAGCTAGAGTTTAGATATTAAGCATGAAACATATTTAAGTAAATATCTACTAAAGTTTGTTCAAATAAAAGCCCGGGGGTCAAAAACTGGCCCTGCCCCAGGGGTGTCATTGTTTTTAACTATATGTGTATAGTAAAAACTTTAAAAATCTTCTTTTAAAAAACCCAATGAGCTAGAGCTTAGATGTTTAGCATGAAACATCTTCTTATGGGTGTCTACCAAGTTTGTTCAAATAAAAGCCCTTGGGTAAAAATTGGCCCAGGGGTTGGGGGGGGGGCCTATAATACAGGTGAGCGACCTCAGGGCCATCATGGCCCACTTGTTGACATTAATGGTCAATGGTAGGAAATTTTCGTAACAGTTTTCTCAGCAAATACCTAGCACAGTCTCTTGATATTTGCTATACAGCATTAACTCATGGTCCTATAATGAGGAATTCGATTTCAGGTCTGTCGCTCATCCATTTCCTGTTTGCTGACTTAGTTAAATTTTCAACATCAATGGTCAATGCTAGAAAATTTTAGTAACATCACAGCCTCATGATATTGGTTTACAAATGCAACCCTGCCTTTTTCTGTCTTTGACCCATTTTTTTTTTTTTTTTCATAATTCATATTTTTTGTAGGGCCTGTTATCTCATCCCTCCACACCTAATCAGCCCACTGGTTATATGTCTCTTCTTTTTTGACCTGCCTGTAAATGGTTCACATTAAAACACATTTATTTAATGAACGGGTTAGTGTCTTTGTATTAAAGGTTTTGACCTGCTATATTTTTGTTAGCTGATTTTTTTTGATAACACAATATTTGATAGCAATTTTTAGAGAACTTATGTGAATATTGTTTAGACTGATAACATATTAACCAGAAATGTTTCAAATGAACAGATTACTATTTAATCTATTTTTGATACATGTATATCTTTATATTATAATTTATTCATTGGCATAAGTTGACCCGAAGTGCAACACAGTGTTAGTCATATGATAATTATGTAGATTGTATACAGAATAAGTTCATTTAGTGATTTACCATCATGTTTATGAACAGTTTGTTCACAAGTGCATTTCATTCACAGTTAAATTTGTTTATCACCATTTATTTAAAATGTGCTAAGTTATTAATATGGACATATGACTTCATAAGAAATGTGTTCATTTACTTATATGGTACATATGACTTCATTAGTTATGTTCTAAGTTATTTATGTGTTATATTGTAGCTATGTATTCATTAGTAATGTGAAGTTGTATATGTGTTAAATGGTACATATGACTTCATAAGTGATGTTCTAAGTTATTTATATGTAATGTGGTATATATGACTTCATAAATAATGTGCTAAGTTATTTATATGTTATATGGTGCATATGACTTTAATCAAAAAATGTGAAAATTTCTTTATGGCTGTTTTTGAAACCCTATGTCTTCTTTTAGAAATGTGAAGTTGTAAAAGTGTTAAAGGGTTTAAAATTGACTTCATAATGATGTTTTTTAAGTTTTTTAAATATTTAAATATAGTATTTTTGTATTAAGTTTTCCCATTAGTAATGTTTTGAAATTTTTTGGTTTTTAGGGGATAAAATTTGTATGATTTTAAATTATTTAATTGTGTTTTATGGTTTATAGGGTTCTTCATTTTTTAAAATGTTGCAAATTTTATTTAGGGAAACAAACGATATTTTATTTGTTTCAATTTTTTTCTTTAAAGCATTGTAAGTTCAGGTTGCATAAGGGGCCAAATTATTCTTACTTACATGTAAATGTAATTTATGTTTGTGGATTTTAAGTTTATAGGGATTGCTGTCTTAAAGATTGAATGAATTTATCAAAATAAAAACAACATTAACTATTATTCCTTATCAAGGCTGTAATAATTAGTATTTCTGTTTTATATAGATGGGGTTTTTTTTATGCCCCCACAATGTGGGAGCATATAGCGTTGCACTTGTCCGTCCGTCCGTCAGTCCGTATGTCCCGAAATCTTGTGAACGCAACTCCTCTTAAACCGGACCAAATTTAACAGAATTATGGCCCTTTGTTGATTTTTAGTTTTCAACTCGTGGCACATGTAGTCCAAAAAATATTTGACCTAGAGTCATAAGATTGACAGAACAGTGGCGTGTGGGGGCATCCGTGTCCTATGGACACATTTCTAGTTTTATTCTAGACCAATTACTATTAGTTATTATAATTATACAAATGTATGAATATAAAGAAGTACTTGTGTTTACAGGACACTCTTATTTCATGTTTATGTAATAATACAGCAGAGACCAACTGTCAACAGACATAACTAAGCTTATTTCTCATTGTTTAATATCTTGATAGTATTTACAATAGTGTACATTGACTAAATCTTCTGTCTGCAACGTAAAGAATATTGAAGAAAGTGAAGCACCTACAGTAGTATATATCTAGATGTCTCCAACCTTCATAAAATTGTTACAGTGAAGATAGTCACTAATTAAGAACCAAAGGAAATAAATGATCCTCACATTTGTCCTTTCATTGATAATAACACCTGCAACAAAGACTTAATTGTTAATGCTTCCGCAATTATTTCTATGTTGTATTGATAGTGGAACAGAGATACACTTCCATCGAGACTTGTACAAGATAAATTGTCCACAAGCATTGTATATATGAAATGTATTCTCAACAGTAAAAGAACTGTACATGTTATATGTTGAATATTTACTTCAAGTGATAAAATGTGTGAATATAATTTATATTACACCAGTAATTGACTTTGGTTGAATTTGATTTTGTCTTTAGGTCAGTATAATTTTATGGAAATGTAAAACACTACTGCAAAACTGCATGGATATAATTTATTGCATCACTAGCTTTGCCAATGCACTTTTAGTGCTGCAACATTAGTACTGCAATATTGCAAGTGCACATAAGCACTCAATTTGTGATAGTCTATCATAGTCTTCCCATAATGCATATTGTAATTGCATTGCAATTTAACCTCGTTTTTCTGGTCAGCTTAAAGTCATTGTTTTGAACTTCAAACCTTTTTAGCTCACCTGTCACAAAGTGACATGGTGAGCTTTTGTGATCGCTTTTCGTCCGTCGTCCGTCCCTCCGTAAACTTTTACTTTAAACGACATCTCTTCATAAACCACTCGGCCAATTTCATCCAAACTTCACAGGAATGTTCCTTTGATAGTCAACTTTAAAAATTGTTCAAAGAATTTAATTCCAAGCAGAACTCTGGTTGCTATGGCAACCAAAAAAAACCCCACAAAATATCTTCTTTTAGAAAACCGCAAGAGCTAGAGCTAAAATATTTGGCATAAAACATCACCTAGTCGGTGTCTACCAAGTTTGTTCAAAATAAATGCCCTGGGGTCAAAATTCGCCCTGCCCTGGAGGGTCATTGATTGCCTTATTTGTGTATAGTAAAAACTTCAAAAATCTTCTTTTAACAACCCCAAATAGCTAGAGCTTAAATATTAAGCATGAAACATCTTCTAGTGGATGTCTACCAAGTTTGTTCAAATAAATGCCCTGGGGTCAAAATTGGCTCTGCCCCTGGGGGTCATTGATTTTCTTTATTTGTATATAGTAAAAACTTGAAATATCTTTTTTTAGAAATCCGCAAGAGCTAGAGCTGAAATATTTGGCATGAAACATCATCTAGTCAGTGTCTACCAAGTTTGGCCCAGGGGCCTATATACAGGTGTTTCAGGGCCATCATGGCCCTCTTGTTTACACAAAACAGCTTACAGTGCTCTAGCAGTGTTACAAGAAATGATTTTGTGAATTTTTTAGTAGATTTTCAAAAAGTGTGTGGACTGATGGGGGAAAAAAAGCACTTATTACTAAAACATCTTAAAAGAAAGTGGTGGCATGGCCAAGTGGTTAACATGTCAGAATAGTAATCTAAGGATTGCTATATCCGCGTGGTTTCAAACTCCGTCAGGAGTGAGCAGTTGTTTCCTTGAGCAAGAAACTTTACACTTACTGCTCGGTACTGGTTGGTTCCAGGAACAGATTCAAGGGTGTGTCTATAAATAATCATCCTTCATAATCGAAGTAAAATAAATTATGTATTTATTTTGTAAACCAAAAAAAAAAAACAATACTTTTTTCAATTGAATATATATTTAATATACACATGATTTATATGTTTATAAATTTTACAATCTTAACAGTTCAAAATAAATGATAGTCATTGTAGTTTGTAGTAATTGTGAAGATTGTTATTATAAGAAACATTTTATGTTCCCTTTCTTTCATGCTTGAACAAATTATAACTGTTGTTTTTATTCTTTTTTGGTTGTTGTTTTTTTGTTGTTTATTTAGTTGTTATAAGGTGACAGATTTATTTTACTTGTGTTCAAAATCTTGCAATGTAAAACTAGTCTAGGATTTGAGCCGCGTCATGACAAAACCAACATAGTGCATTTGCGAGCAGCATGGATCCAGACCAGCCTGCGCATCCGCGCAGTCTGATCAGGATCCATGCTGTTCTCTATCAGTTTCTCTACTTGTTATAGGGCTTGTAAGCGAACAGCATGGATCCTGATCAGACTGCACGGATGCGCAGGCTGGTCTGGATCCATGCTGGTCGCAAACGCATTACGTTGGTTTTGTCATGACGTGGCTTATTTTATATTTTGATTGTTAAATTGAAAACATGACAAAATAACGTTTGCCTTACAGTTTGCCTATGTTTGTCTGCCATTGAAATCAGTCTGTTTTGTTTTAATTTTGCTGAAATATTACCATACAGTGCTGTAACTCAATTTAATGGACTCCACCTATTAAACATAATGCACTTGATTTGAATGGGTGGGGCTAACTGTAAGTAAGTTATATACAGAGTTATAAGAAACAAATTTTCTCGCTTTTGTTCGCTCAAAAATTAAATTCTTAAAACTTTGTATATAACCTATACATATTGTGTCAGTTTTATAGGTCAAAGGTTAAGGTCAAAAGAGCGAGGATGAGCTTTAGTCTAATGTTTTTTTTTAATTGTACAATTTAAAGTTGCATGTCCAAATTAAATCTTGCTGTTATATACCTATAACTTCCTATATTACTCTGTTAAAATATTTACTTGTAATAAATTATTTTCATTTTTATGCCCCCGCCATGTAATGGCCGGGGCATATAGTGTTACCCTGTTCCGTCATTCCGTCCTTCCATCCTTCCGTCATTCTGTCATTCCGTCATCATCAGTTTCCGTTCATTATCTTAAAGAACGGTTGCACACATTCAACTCAAAATTTGATATATGGATA